TATTTTCTAATATCTAGAATTCGAATAAATATTATATAGAATTCGAAATATATGTATATAAAAGTTATAATATACATATGTATATATATATATATATATGTATATATATATATATATATATATATATACCTATATAATCGATCCTAATACTGGTAATCAGATGAACATATTTCTGACAGTTTTCCATATGTATATGTGCTGTCAGAAATATGTTCATTTGATTGTCAGTATGAAGGACGACGAAATTTTGAGGTTGCCAGTAATATATGGTATTAGATGCAACTGAGCTTATTCATTATTTTATTATTTAAAAAATATCAATTTTATTTAAACTTTATAATTGTTTATAACTGAAATAATTAGAAAAAAATATTTTTAGTACTTAAATCATCGTTAATTCTACAAATTTATTAAATCAAATTTTAGTAAACGCTTAATATGCCAGTAATATGGTCTTTCACTACTGAAGAATTGCGCCGCGTGTGTGTGTCTTCAGTGGTTTCGATTTTTAATTTTAAAGTATTTTAGATTATCCGAGTACGACTGTTTTAAAACTATCGCTGCGTTATCATTCTTTTCAAATGTTTAACTTAATTCCAATTCCTGAAATTTTGAAATGTTCAAACATTCAAACATTTATTATTTTAATTTGAAAAAGTGATTTTTTTATTTTTGATGTTTTCTATTGTTGATTTTTTGATATCTTTGAAACATTATATCCCAGGACGAAGAAAGATGACCAAGTGCGTCCCGCAATTGCCGCCTTCCGGGAACTATGGCATATGATTGACGGTGGCACCTTTCTTAGGATCATTCATCGAACTTAAAGAAATCATCAGCCTGCGAAATGTGTTCAAAAGTTAATCTCTCTGTAATTGTCCCGATCGCATATTAATTGGCTAGTTCGAGAGAATGATTACGCACACAAATTTTAGAGTTTTGGGAATTTAGAGCTCGTCGACTTTCAATTGGAATCGGTTTTATAATTAGATCGTTACATCATCTCTATGATTACATCTCAAAATATCCCGCATAAGACACAGGCTGCAATCGGAAATTCGCAATTTTGATTGTAAATAATTACAGGTCCTCTTTAGAACTTGAATATTTGTAAAGTTATATACTTTTTTCAAAAAAAAAAAAAAAATAAAGCTGAAGAGATTTATAGTTTTCAAGTGATTTTACAGAAATTATTTTTAAAAAAATGTTGAACTTTATAGAATCTTTTTTATAGAACTCTAAAAAATATGACTCTTAAACAATAAGGAGCATCATAAATAAATAATCTTCTGATGCTTCAAATGACGTTTTTACTATTTTAAACGATAGAACTCTTGTTTAAACGATAGAACTGTCTATTTCTATCAATGTAAATTAACTTTAATCTCGGTTTAATTTATTTATTTTTCTAATTCTTAAAACTAGATAAAGTGAAAAATAAGTTAAAGAAATTAAAATTAAACTGCATTGATAGAAATGGGCTTAAAATCGCTTGATAACTCTAATTAAATTCGAAGAGTGTGCTCTAGCAGTTTCTCTTTAATTTTGAAAAATGCACAGCCAACTTCACCGACGAAGTGTGTAAAATTCGATATTACTACCAAGCTAAAATGATTCTGACTCTCGAAGACAGAGCTACGGAGTTTTCGAAAGAATTTATCACGAGCTTTAACGATTCCAAGATAACGATTCGTGGAATCATGGAACGGCTCTTACAGATTTTCAGTGTGTACACTCGTGACGACTTACACACATGCGTTTAATGGTATCACCAGCGGATAAGTTTGCGTAAGACTTGTCGACGTACGGCGCGGTGGAGAACGAGAAGAAAGAAAGTGGAAGGGTGAGGTGAACAGTGAGATGGAAGCGGCGAAATGATAGCGGCGCTCTTTGATTCGAGCTTCATGCGTGCTCTAGAATGACCAGAGCCGCGGCGGTTTATCTCGGAGGCTTGTCAATACCATTTATGAGAAACATTAACTCCGATATGATTCGCGGAAATGATAATCCAAGAGAAAAATCTCACGAGGCGCAATCGAGGACAAAAGAAATAAACGGAGAGCAAAAAATTACCGAGAATTTTAGTTATCGTTAGAAAGCTTTAATTTAACGAAACTGTAATTTAATTAATCAAATGTAGTTTAATTTTTTTAATGTTTTTTTTTTAATTATAATTTTACTCGGATTTTACCGAGTGATAGTCAGCAAGTCATATGTTTACCATGTTTTTCCTTACGATATGGTCGTAACAAACAGTCGTTTCTCGTTGTCTTCCATGTATCTTCGTAAAAAGATTACAGGTACTTTCGATCATAATCGCGAGTAAATTGGTAAAGATGCATGTAATCATACGTGTTACATTATGCTCGCATTAAGTTATAAAGGCATTAAAGTGCAATCGCATGTAATTGCAGCTGGGCCCGGTTGCATCTGTATTAAGTTACGCGTTCGATTACAAATGCAAACTGGATTGTAATTTAAACGCTTCGCGCAAATTGTAATTGTATAATTACACGTAAGAGTAGTATCGTGATTATTTACAATTATATGTTAGATTAATAGTAAAATAACTGTAAAGTTCTTGCAACGCACGTTTAATCGCTCAGAAATTTTCAATTAAATTAATTATATCGTGACACAAGTATTTTATTATAATTGAATTAAAATAATATTAGGTATATTATTTGAAGTATTAAAATTCAAAATTTCTTTTGAGATTTTGAATTAGAGAATTAAAATAATTTATGTAATTATAAATAATATAATAATATAATAATGTAATTATAAATACATCTTTATAAATTAAAAATTTGTTAAGAATCTTTTATTTAATTTTTCTCTGTTCTTTTAGCATATTAAGTATTTTTTCTTTCAACTTCAAAGTTTCCAATCAATCTGTTAATACCTACTTAAATTCAATATATATCTTTTTTAAACATTTTTTTTATTCTCAATTTATTTAGGGATATATTGTCCATTTTTCAAATATTTTTTTTATTTTAAGCCTGCACATTGCATATAAAAATTATAGTAACCTATTATTTAAAAAAAAGCTAAGGTTTTCAAGTCCCCTCTACGCGGATCCAACATCATCGTCATTCTCGGTCCATCGCGTGAAAAGTGCATATCAAATCCGCATCCGCCGACGGTGTTCCCATACACGCACGCACACGCCTCCACGCGCGCCACGTACACGTGCGCACGGGGAACGCAGCTGCTACAAAAATACGCAGTTTTGCTCGTCAGAGCTATCTCGCTTCAGGCGGCTTCAAAGGAAACCGCCTTAACGTTATTACGATAATAAAACTGAGCGAGCGAGAGTGAACCCTCGGCTATAAATACCTCTCTTTCCTTATGTCGTGTATATGTATATGTATATGTACGTGAGTGTGTGTGTACATATATGTATGTATTTGTTGTGTGTAGCGGCGTGTACAATCGGGTGCATTAATGGTACGGTGCGTCCGCATTTCCAAGGGTACCTCACAACAGTCACGACACGCGATTCATCTAGTCTTCTTGATCCTTGCGAGCGTGAAGCGATTGAACTATACGATCAATTACATATGAATCATATGGTAAATATGTGTGAAATATATGTTGCTTAAATATTGCAGATTTTTATTGTTAAATGTAAATTAATCAGATTACGCATTGGAGATCGAAGGGACTGCGAATGCCAAATTAGAATTCGATCAAAGCAAAGCGAATTATAATTGTAAGATCAAAGTTATTATAAGTAGAATATCAATTGAGCAGTATTCAAAGTCTTATATGCAACATTATCTCAAGTAAGATTTCGTCCAATCAATGAAATAGCCGTAAAGCATCTCGAGATCGTACTTAAATAATTTACATAATTTTAAATACTATCAGGAGTCCTTTAAATGTCTGGTCTGTGAAACTACAATTCGCAATACTCCGTTTTCTATGTATACGTAGTAGCCCAATATGGATGTAAGTGCACCGACAATATTAACGCAACCGATTATACATACGTGCGAGTAAGCGCGCGTAAGTACGACTTCTTCACTGTCTCTTCAGCTTCCCCCACGATGCGTGTTCATACTAACTACTATTAGTCGAAAATATAGCATCTGCTGACGTAGAAAGATGCATCGTTTGGAGCAGCTAGATAGTAATTGCATTTTTTCAAATAATTCTTATAAATTCGTACATGAGATCCCTAGTTGAAGATATTTGAATGCCGATCAAACACTTGAATAAGTATTAACACATTTCTATAATAATCACGCGGAAAATAGAATCAGTATGGATGTAGCAAAGGTCGATGATTCGGCGAAGAAGTCAATACCTCCGCAGGGAGAGGAGCAGATCGATAGAATTTTTTTTCTATGCCAAAATTTTGGCGACCATGATTAATATTTACTGAAAACAGATTATTTTGTATTAATACTTTAATAAGTAAATATTATATTATTTTTGACTCGCAAGAAGTAGCAAATCGACTGTAAATAAATTTATTTACAAAAAGTAAATCTTGATCATTTTGACAACGATTACGCGCGAATAAATTTTCATCATTTTGCCGCTAATTAACAGCATTCCGCGCAGAAGTGGAATCTGACCGGAAGATCAGTATTGAATCGATACGTCGAGGAATCCAGCAATCCACGGGCACAGACGAGAAAACGGCTTCTAATTATGTCTCCTGTGGAGAGAACCGTATATCCTGCTCGGAGAAAAAGGGACCGGTATTCTCCCCTTCCCCTTCCATCTTCTCGTTCCCTCCCTTCCATAACATCGCGGTTCAGCGACTTTGATTCGCCTTATCGCTGCTAATGAGAGCCGGACGCGCGTTCTTTGATCTTCGATCGCTTATTAACACTCGCTCTGCTATGAAAATCTCTCCCTCTTTTTCTATCTGTCTCCCACCTGAAGGCTATTAAGGCCATAGCACATTTAATGTATTGCTTTTTGTCTTAACACGACTGTTTCAAAAATAAACATTACAAATAATTATGTACTGAATATTATGAATGTTTAGTAAATAGTTACTATTTATTAACTACACATTCTTACAGTTAGGGAAATTGCATTTTCTGATAATGTAGTTTTAAATCAAGAAATTAATATGTAACTATAATTTTGACCAAGAAATTACTGAAATACTGCTAGTAGCTCTGCAAGCTCTTATTTATGTTACACAGGATATATTAGTTAAAATATAGATTATTTTTTTCAATTTTCTGGAGTGATTGATTTGTTAATACAAACTTTCTTTTTTTAAAGAAAAATAAATTTATAATATATATATGTATGTATATTATATCTTAAATACATAATTTATCTTTAATAATATAAAATAACATAAAAATCCTCATTCTTCATGTCTTTTTACAAAGCATATTTTTCAATATTCATTTAGAACGTTTTTTAAGCTTCTCGATACGAAAAGCGTAAGAGAGAAAATTAAGCTAAATGTATTTTTTTTAAGAATCGAAGTTACCCCTCGTTCCGCTTGCCGTTGATCCTCGTGGCCCATGAAATTCGGCATTGCTGTCAGATTGTAACGCAATCCCCGGCAGAAGGATACGTTTAGTCGCTCGCATTTGGCGCCGGTTCCAGGGTACGCGTGGTTGATGCCCCATCCTTGGGCCGATGCCGCCGTTAGGATGAGCCCCACAATGCATAGCACCATTTTCAATGTCGACGGCATTCACATTTTATTCCGCAATGAATAGTAATATGTATATAATTCGTGTATCACTCGCAGTGACGAGGTCACGTGATCGCGACACACAGTACCCCATTAAATACACCCATTTGCATCGGTGGTCGATGGCCGACTGACGTATCTAACGTGTTCGCGGCGTTCGCGCAACGCAGATGCGAACGCTCGGGTAATTCCGTGCGCGTTCGGTTGCGTTCTCTCCTTCCCCACCCTCCCCCTGCCAGCCGTCCACTTTTTGCCGCCACGACTGCGCGTCACGGCGGGCCCTATCATCTCGGTCTGACCGCTGAGGATTATGGGACCGATCCCGCAGGCATAATTAGGAACAAAGAGAATGCCGGACGTTGCGCTGTCTCGTCGATGAATTTCTGTCATTTTCCTGCAAGATCGAGAACCAGCCTGAATGTTCACCTTTGCGTTTACCTTTATTAGGAAATTTTTCTTGATAGGATTAGTTTTTAGAAAACTCACTAGGGAGATTTAAAACAGATTTGAAACGTAATCAGCTGACTAATCTTACAATTTTTTAAACTTTGGAGTATCTACGAAACCTTAGATATATATTTTATTATATTCTTAAAATTTTATTTAAAGATTCCTTTGATCCTTACATTTCTTTTCTAAAATTTTGACAATTTGTTTCTCATCTGAAAGAATAGGATATTCTTTTTCTACAAATTATATTATGTATCGTTTGTCAAATCCACGTTCAAAGATAAATAACATTAGTGTCGATTTTCTCATAAATTTATTCCTTCAATGAGATCTTCAAACTCCGCGGAAATGTATGTAATACATTTTTTTAATTTTATTGTTTTAAATGGTAGGTTTAATTTTTGTTTTTTAAGAGAGAAAAAAAATAAGAAAAAATATATAGTTTTGATGATTACAAATTTATTAATTTCTTCAATATAAAAAGTGGTTTTATGATAGAATTTTGAAAGTTACAATGCCATAACATTTTGTAAAAATTCTTTAGGAGAATTAAAAAATATTTGCAAGTAGTTTAAGTATAATAAAATTTTCAAATTTGCAAAATCGCAATAATTTTCATAAATTATAATGGAAAATCTGAACATTCCTAATCAGATTGAATAGAACGTTTATTTTCATAAAAATGCTATGAAGCGGAGAAATATCGATTCCGATCCAACCGCAAAATTAGACCGGTTCTGGTATTTTCGGAAAAAAGCGCACGATGAATTCAGAATAGCGAGTCGAGTCGTTATGGTCTACCATTATGCGTGTTAACACGATTTCGGGCTTTCCACGGCCGGTCCCTTTGGGCCTTTTTGGGATCCGACCAACGCGGTCTGTTACGCCCATCGAAGAACGACCTTGGTTTACCTCGGCGCAGAGACTGTGAAGCGTAGAATAAAGAAATCTACAATGAGACAGGTTAGGCATCGGCTCCCTTTGACGGAACCCGCTTCTCTCACCATGTTCTTTCCCTTTCGAACGCGAAAGTGCTAATTATACGTATTTTGTACATATCTCGCGGCTTTCGCCCCGATGAGCTCTTGGTATTCGAGATGTCCCTTTTCGATTCTTAAATATTCGTCGAAGGACAAATATAATTTTTATAATAACAATTAATAATTGTTGCTCAAAGATGCATTTATAAGCACTCGAATTCATTATTTGCTATCTATAAATTTTCTTTTTTCATTAGTCCGGTATAAGACCCAAGGCACAAGAGCGTTTACCGGCGCGATTGCCGGTGAAGCTTGATAGAACGGGGACTAGTGGAGGTGAAAGAATGGAAGGGGTTAAGGCGGCGGCGAATCATCAAAGAGAATTGTAATTAGTCGCGCATGTGCCGCGCGGCCAACCGGAGCAGCAGACGCGGGAATCTCTGTTTTTTGCTTGCTATTTCCACCTCGAATACCACCCTCTCCAATGTACATCTTGGGAGCGCGCAAAATTCCTCTAATTGAGATCCGTTTCTGCGAAAGACGGAACACCTACGAAACAAATAAACCTTCCCGAAAACTTTATACAGTTTATATATATCTATTATGTATTTTTATATATCTATTATGTTCGTAACGTCAAATATTTTCATGCATCTAAAAATATTTTTTGTAAAATATTACAATTTGCATTGTTCTTAAATCTACAAAAATGCGTTGCTGAAATGTAGAGAAGATTTGTATCTCATGAAAAAACCTTACAAAGGTAAAAAATGTCAAGTACATAAAAAATATTTGAAAATGTATGTCTCGTTAAATAAAAAATTAACTATTCAAAATAGATATGAAATCGATCTAATTAGCTAGTATTGCTGAGGCAAACTTAAACCTTGAAATATAAAACTTTTGAGCGCCGCTTATGTGTGTGATAATTAAGTATTGAAAAAGTAATTAAGTATTGATAATTAAGTATTTCAGCTAAATTGAAATTTACATTAAAAAGCATAAAGTTTGTTGTGACAAACTTAACAGTTTTAGAACTGACTCGGTAAATAAACTATAATATATCGACGGTCAGTTTTCTATAAGTATATTACAATGACTAGATCTCAAAAATTGTGCAAAAAAGTGCAACTAATAATCGTGTCACAACTTGTAATTATAAACATAACGATTATAATTTATAATATGTTTGATATTTATAATGTACAACAGAGATTTCTTACTACAATAAAGACAACTTTTTAATGTTTCGAAGTCAATTCGAGGCTGATTTGAGAATTTAAATAAAACATATTGTTGAAGCAACACATATTTCTGTCGTACCCAAGAAAATTTGGTCCATTCGTCGACCTAAATTTACGAGACATCATTGGCACAAAAATTGTGCACTCGTGCGTGCTAGGTGTTCCATCGCGCGTCGAAGTCACGTAAGGGATGGGTTGCACAGGGTGGTGCTAAGGAGGAGGGAGGGAGAAGGGAAATGGGATTGCATCGGCAGACCAGCAGATACGTAAATGACGCGAGGAAGTCTCTCATTACTTGGTAATAACCTGTAATAACGTAGATTTAATGCGTGGCTTCAAGTACAGGCTATAGGCAATCGTTCACCGCCTTCGGCAGTTTTAATGAATTGCTCCCTTCCTCTCCTCATCTCCTTGCTTCGCCCTCTTTTCCATTTCAGCTTCGATCCGTTGATGGGAAACAAACGTTAAAGTTTAGTGCTTATTTTGATTTTGGTTTCATTGAGCTCTCTCTCTCTCTCTCTCTCTCTCTCTCTCTCTCTCTCTCTCTTTCTGTTCAGAGATTCTAGTTCTCAATTAAAACAAAAAAATAGCATTAATCGGAACACGAACATTCAATCGATGATCCTTGAACATAGACTGTCTCGCAGTCATAAA